GAGAACAGGTGTTGCGACACCTGACATGGCTGGTGTGACTGAAGAGTTGGTGTAGAGCGGGAAGGTGGCTGACAAGGCCTGAGAGGGAGGAAGTGCATGCATGTGGTGCTCAGGAGCTCAGGGCATGGCACTCCCTCTGGAGACCCTACTCTGTGCCAGGAGATGGGTTTTGGGCTGTTACATGCACCCTGTCACTCAGTCTTCCCAGCAATCCTATAAGGTGGCTACTGTTACTCCCATTTCATAGACAAGAAAACTGATGCTGAGAGAAAATAAGTAACTTTCTTTTAAGTCCTGTAGCATGAGGTAGATATAGGTAGATTTAGATATAGAGGTGGGGTCTTTATGAGGTAATTGGATTGTGAGGACTCTGCTCTTGTGAATGATTAATCCATTTGTGGATTAATAGGTTAGTGGGTTAATGGATTAATGGGTTGTCATGGGAATGGAACTGGTGGTTTTATAAGAAGAGGAAGGGGGCCCGTTTGAATACAAAGTCAAATAGGGCTTTTTGACTTCAGAGTTCTGCTCTCAATCAGACTTCAGCCTGTAGGTGATACACAGATATTAAAGAACTTTAAACAGAGGAGGAGCGTGAATAGATGTGGCATAGAAAAAGCCCTGTGAAAGTTTTAAAGAGCACTATTTCTATAGGAGAACTGAGAGTGATACATTAAAAGATTAAGACTACTGTGGAGGTTTCTCCAGACCAGACCAAGGAGGGTAAACATCTTTGCTTTCCAAAGACAATTCTCACACACTGTTTCACTTAAAGTCACCAGTAAAACTGGTAGGACTATAGGGAATGTGATATTTTACAAAATTTCTTGTAATTAAAATTGAAACCAAAAAGAAACCCAGAATTGTGCAGACATACTAATAAAATGAGGTGTATATAGGCTGTTATACCTTACTTAATTGGGAAACTGTTATCAGTTCATTTTCTGTTGCTTACGACAGAATACCTGAAACTGGGTAACTTATTTTAAAAAAGGGAATTTATTTCTTACAGTTTTGGAAGCTGGGAAATTCAAGGTCAAGGGGGTGTATCTGGTGAGGGTCTTCTTACTGCTGGGAACTCTCTGTAGAGTTCCGAGGTGGTGCAGGTTATCAAATGGCAAGAGGGCAGGAGCATGCTCACATGCTAGCTCAGGTCCCCCTTCCTCTTCTTATAAAACCACCAGTTCCATTCCCATGATAACCCATTAATCCACTAAACCATTAATCCATGAATGGATTAATCCATTCATGAGAGCAAAGCCCTCACAATCCAATCACTACCTAAAGACCCCACCTCTCAATACTGCCACATTGGTAGTTTTGGAGGGAACATTCAAACTATACCAGAAACCCTTAATTCAGAATCCATGATAATTTATCGAGGGATTAGGCTAAAAAAAAAAATCTACATTTGTTAGAAGATAAAATATTTTTCTAAACAAATCAACAATATAAACAACATACTAGAGAGCATTTGACCTAGTCAAGAATAAACTTCTTTGTACTTTTAAATGAAACAATCACCATCTACTTATTAAAACATTTTCCTAAAAACTCTAATTGCCAAGACTTAGTTTGACACTCAAGGGTGACAGAATGCCTTTAACATAATAAAACTAAAATTCTAAATTAGTCATTCAAACTTTTTACTAATTCAGATGACTTATTATTATTAGTCAGAATTACTGAGATGCTACTCTTTTGTTTCAGGAACAATTATTTTCTAAAGAACAATAGAATGTAAAAAGCAAGGAACAAATAATAAAATTGGAAAAATATTTGCAATACACAGTGTCTAAAACCAATCAAGAATGGTCAAAGTGCATGAAAAATAATTTTCATTGTTCTATTTTAGTTATCACATGTATTATAATTTTCTGTATATTACTTTGAAATTTAAAAAGCTAGTTAAAAGGAATTTTTAGGAAAAGACGTGAGTGACACAGTGACAAGACCTTGTACTAGAATGCAGAAGGCTTTTTCTATCTCTAAGCTTTTGCTCACATGTTTCTTTAACCTAGAAAATCTTTCACAATTGTACCAAACTCTCAGGGCTCACGTTAATTGTCAGCCATTCAATGAAGTGTTTCTGGATTCTCCCTAACCTAAAATAACCTCTCTCATTGAATAATTAACACTATATTTGTACTTCTGTTTTGGTATTTAGGACACTTCAGGTCACGTTATACTCATTGTTGTTCACGTGTTCTCTCCGCTCCTGGAATGGGAATTGCTTCGTGTTAATACTGCAGCACATCAACCATGCTGACTGTCCTTTCGCACACACAGTGGCTTCCTGTAGCAAGTGCACCATGCATACATACATGGAAGGCAGGAGGGGGAAGAAATGGACTAAGAGCAGAAAAGGAAAGGAAAAGCAAAGAATGAAGAAAAAAGAAGGGAGAAAAGGGAAAAAGTGAGAAAGAGGAAAATGTAAAGGAAAGAAAAGGAAAACGGCAATGAAAGGGAATTCGATCAGAGATGTTTAATTAACTATATCCATTTATCTCTTCTTCCCATTATAATATATATACACACACAGCTGTAAAAACAAATTGAACTATATGGGGCAATGGACATCAGCATTTAAAGAATTTTAGCAAATCTATGGAACATAAAAAGTACATGGAAGATAGCAGCATTATTCACAGTAGCCAAAAGGGAGAAGCAACCCAACTGTCCATTCACAAATAAATGCATAAACAAAATGTGGTATATGCATATAACGGGACATTATTTAACCTTAAGAAGAAATTCTGACACATGCTACAACATGGCTGAGCCTTGATTAACATCTAAGTAAGGTAAGGTAAGCCAGTCACCAAATAGCAAAAGCCGTATAATTCCAAGTATATGAGGTCTCTAGAGTAGTCAAACTTATTTAGAAAGTACAATGGTGGTTGCCAGGGGCTGGGACAGGAAGAATGAGGAATTAGTGTTTAGTAGGTACAGAGTTTCATTTTGGGAGGATGAAAAAATTCTGGAGATAGATGGTGGTGATGGTTGCAAAGCAATGTGAATGTACTTAATATTACTGAATGGTAGACTTAAAAGATTTAAGACAATAAGTTTTGTTATACGTATTTTACTAAAATTAAGTTTTTGAAAAAAAGTAGATGGAAAGGACTTTTACCTTCAGCCATGATGGAGTCACAAGAATAGGAATTATTCTCCCATGTTAAACAACTAGAAAACCAGACAAAATATATAAAACAATGATTTTCAGACACTGGAGCACAGGCAGCAAAGGACAATGATCCCTGAGTGAAAGAAAAGAAGTGGTGTCCAACTCACTGCCTCAAGAGTTTCCAGCCCAGGGTGAGGGAACCCAAATGGATCCCAGAGGGCTCTGTCAGTTGACCAGAGTTTGGGGAGACGGAGAAGGCTAGAGATTGTGGAGCATAACTGCAGAGAGGAGGCAGCTGCACAGAGTTTCAGAGATCTGTGGGGTTGCAGGGGATCCCCTCTAGTCTTTTGCTGAGTACTGATCTGTGCATGCGTGTAAGGAAACTACTAAAGCCAGGAAAAAACAGGAGTAGGCAGTAAAATCCTGAGAGCCCACACAAGGCCAGAAAGAGTCTGTGCTCCCACTGACCCTCATGCACAGGGCACTGGGTAGAATGTATCACTGGCAGACCGGCATTACAATAACTGTTAAAGGAATGTCTTCAGGCAGAAGAAAGTGATGTCAAATAGAAAGCTGGATGTATACAAGGGAATAAAGAACACCAGAAATAGTAAAGACGTAAGAAAATATAAAAGACCTCTGTTTCTCATTTTTAAAAAGTTATTTAAAAGAAAAGTTAGATAATCAGTAAAGATATAGAAGACTTGAAGGGCACTATCAACCAACTTGACCTAATTGATATTTATAGAACATTCCACCCAACAACAGTAAAATACAAATTCTTTTTAAGTGCACACAGAACATTTGCCAAGAAATTCTGGGCCATAAAACAAATGTCAATGAATTTAAAAGGACTGAAATCATGAAGATATATTCCCTAACCATAATAAAAATAAATCAGAAATCAATAACAGAAACATATCTGGAAAATCCCCAAATAGTTGGAACTTAACATACTTATAAATAACCATGGGTCAAAGGAGAAATTGTAAAGGAAATTTGAAAATATTTTACCATGAATAAAAATAAAAACCCAACATACCAAAAATTGGGGATGTACCTAAAGCAGTGCATTAGGGATATTTATAGCATCAAGCACTTACATGAGAAGAGAAGAAAGGTCTGAAATCAATGATCTAAGTTCAACTTTATGCACCTTAAAAAAAAAGAATGCTAAGGATAGTGGAGTGGAAAAAGACAGTGTGGGTCCTTCAGTGTGCTGGCATTTGTTCTCATGCTTACTGCTTCACAGTCACAGGACGGCTGCACCATCTCCAGCTTTACATCCATGCTCTGGAAGAAGAAGGGAGAATGGCCAAGTGGTGCTAGCCATATCTGTCCCTTTGTAACCTAAACAGAAAATATTCCTGGAAGCCCTACTTGACAGACTTCCACTAAATTCTTATTGGCCAGTACTTTGTTTTGTGTCCGTGTCTAGCTGGAAGTGCCTATGGGTCCTGGGTCAGCCAGACTACGGTGTATAGCTACACAGGTGAAAGCCCCAATAAATGAGAAATAGCCATACAAAAGTAAAGGATTAACATCATCATGCTCCAATAATTAAATACACAAATAACTTCTTGTAGTGATTATGAAACTGAATCAATGGGTACCATGCCTCTGAACTGCTATTTATCATGATCTCTTTCTTCAACTACAGTGATTTCCTCTACATCTGTTGGGTATTTTATGTTATTCTTCTTCCCCTATAATAAAATCTTTTACCATACTGAGGAAAGGCAACAAAATTCTTAGAGGAATGAATGCACAAAACATATACTGGAGAAGCTGATAATTGAGAGCTAGGAAATAAAAAGAGTATCATTCTGCTTTTGTTTCAATACACACCTCATGTATTGTGAAGCACATTTACCTTCTGTGGATTTGATGCCCTGATGTTGTAGCTGTCCAGGAAGATGCACGGGTGGAGATCCTGGAGCATCACTAGGCTGCATAGTAACGCAAGGGTTCTTTTTAGAGACTGGGTCTGTCTTAGGAGTTTTTTCCTGAATGTACTATAAAGGCTTTGTTAGAAATAAGCTCCACTCTTCATCATCCTGGGAGGGCCTGGCACCAACGCTCGGCAAAGGCTGTAAGGAGGTTTCAGTAAACATAGCTTCATGTAGACACTATAGAAACTAAGCTTCCAGGTTCAGGTTGTTGCAGCTCCCATGCCAAGAAGACTAAAGGGGAAGCTGTTAAATTTAGCAGGAGCCATGCACATTTAAAAACTATTCTTGATTTAAGTTACAGGGAGAAGTAAATTAAATTTTATGAAAGCTTTGACTTTTAATACTATTGGCAGTATATTAAAATGTTCCGAAGATTATTTATGATATGTATTTTTAAAAACTGGTCCAAGTACAATGATGGAAAGCATGAAAAGCTTCAATCATAAAGTACTTAAAACACTCTTTGCCATATTTAGAATGGATAGTCTCAGGTGACACTGCTTATGAAACTTCTCATGTCTTTTAGTCAACTTATTCTCATATCTTAAACATCTCTGCAGTGCCTGGCCATTGCAGAATCAGCAGGCATATGGCTGGCACTCAAGCTAAGAGAGGATCAGAAAGGAAAACGCAGGCCATACATCAAGATCTCTTTTCTTCAGCAGCACAACACAGTGGTACTTAGAGAGTATTTGCTCTTAATGCCCCTGCTCACGTAGCCCTTGCATACCTTGAGTAGACCATGCTTTTTTTTAAGGCAACTGGTTTTTTATATAAATACTATGGGAATTAGCAATCTTAATTCAGAATGCTAATATGATTGTCTTGATATTTAAAGGATGATAATATTTTTTAAAAAGTCTTACTTGACTTATCAGGATAAAATGCTGAGTGGATCAATCTGTATTTTAAATATAAGTGAAGAAATGTTACCATTTCATAGATTTCAGAAACATAATGTGTTTTCCCCTTATTCTCCACCCAAAAAAGGCCTGGTAATTGTTAATTTTTCTTTCCCTGTTTGAGTAACTTAACTCTTTCAGAGATCCACTTTGCAAATTAGCTATTCCAGATCATTAAAATAGAATGCTGGCAAATGAGAAATGTACCCTAAAGCAAAGAATAAATAAATGGTTTGTCATGCTAGAATTAGAAGTTACATTTGAGGTAAGCCTATACAATTCCTAATACTGTTCCAGAAAAATCTAAGTTAGGCAAAAAAAATTTCAAGCGACAAATAGGTGGTCCAGGAGCCAGAGTCAGATAAGGTGAAGGTTAGGGCAGATAACTGGGATCATAAAATCAGAACCATCTGTAGGGGGCCATGCAAAGCCCAAAGCAGAGTGAGCCCACCAGGAAGTAGAATAGGAGAGACACAGCAGGACTGTGAGAAGATCCTGAGCGTCTGTGTAGATGAGTGGGGACATCTGGAATGTGATCGCCTCTGTGATAATTAACTTCAACTATGAATGCAATCACTTTCCCTGTTAACCAGAGCTGCTGGAGCAGATTCACAAGAGGACAGCTAGATGGGCAAAGAAAGCAGAAAACTTGACATCTACAGAGTGCTTGAGGGAACTGAGATTGTTTAACCTGAAGAAATACAGAAGGATGCAGAAGGCATGGAAACTAGGCTCAGGTGCTTGAAGAGCTGCCATTTGAAATAACAATAGCCACTAGCATTTGCATGTATTAGCTCATTTATTCTTACAAGACTATGAAGCAGATATTGTTAGTACCTCATTTACAGATAAACCTACCAAGGTGCAGGGGCATTGAGTATCCTTCCCATAGTCACACTGATGAAGAGTTGACAGAGTGGGGTTCAGAACCATACAGTCTCACCCGGGCTCTCACCCATGTTCCTAAACACTCTGTTATCCTGCCCCTCAGCAGAGGCAGAACTGGTGCCAAGGTTCACTGGTAAGGGCTTCAGATTTTGACTCAACATAACAAAGAATTACCTAATAATAGGAACTGTATAAAATAATAATCCTAACAACAGCCCTGTGAGTTAAGAGCTATTATGTTTATTTCACAGACAAGGAAACAGACTCAGAAAATTTAAGATGGCCCATGTTCCCACATCTGGTAAATGGCAGAAAGGGATTTACACTCAAATTGGCCTGACTTCTACACCTGTGCTCTTTCTCAACAGCCCAGCCTCTTAAGTATGTAGTATATGCCCTGCCATATGACATGGGTCAGAAGAGAATCAGCACATTGTCCTTAAAAGCAACCCAAGAAACTGCTTAAACAGGAAGTTGAGATACACAGAGAAAAAGCCCTGTCTAATGTATACGGGTAAGTGGTGGCTGAGCTGAGGCCAGAACTCAGGTCTCTTAACTCCCCACAAGGTTCCTTCTGCTACACTGAACTGGATGCACAGCTGGATATCCACTTAAAATGGAGGTCCTCCAGACTCATGACTTGTTACCATGCCTGTGTTTCTGCTTCTATAAAAATGCAACACAGCTATTCTTGATACGAGTCATGATGACTCACTATTGGGTTTCTTTATGCAATTTATACCTGTGACAGACTGTACTACTTATTCTAAATTATGTGCCTCCTCCCTGCCCTTCTCATGACTTCCCAGAAGGTGAAGGGTACTTGCCCACCCCACTGACTTTGGGCTTGCCATGTAACTTGTGAGAGAAGGTGACTATGCCAGTTCCCAGGAGAGGCTTTAGGAGATACTGTAGGTTTCCACCTATCCTCTGGAGCTCCTGCCCTCTGCCACAAGAAAAACAAAGCTCAGATGGCAGCTGCTCACTCAGCCTCAGTCTTAACCTGAGAAGACATGGAGAGCACAAACGAGTTCAGCAAAACTGCAGCTGACTCGCAGGATTCTTAAGTGAAAAATAAATGTTTGTTGTTGGAAACCACAGAGATTTAGGGGTTGTTAGTTACTGCAGCAAAAGCTGTCTAATACAGAAATTGGTACATAGAAGTAGCAACTGCCATTCAAACACCTGAAATATGGGGCATTGGTTTTGGGTTTAGGTTGTGGTGAGAAGCCAGAAAACTCTTTTAGGAAGTTGGAAAAATGGCAACCCAAGGTATGCAGTGATGAAACATTTGGCAAAAAAAATCACCTGTGAGAACTTAAAAGGTAAAAAGTCTATCTACTAAATTTGTTTTCAAAACAAAACAGAATGCTGCCTTGTGAACTGATTGTTAAAGGATGCCTTTGATAAAGTGATACAGAAAAGAAAGCTTCCCCTTCCAACAAAACAAAACACCTCACTGCTTTGCAAACACAACTGAAAGGAAAGACAGGGAATCCAAAAATTCCAGGACTGAAAGAACTTGAAAATGGAACTATTTCTCACCAAATTAAGGTTGGCCGTTAACACACAGCGTCCTGGAAAAGACCAAGTCAAAGATATGACCATCACCCTTTCTGCTGAAATGTCTAATTGGATTATCATGGCCCCAGTGAAATCTTTTAGTTGCATTAAATAGCCTGGGGAAAGAGACTCAGAATTTGGGTCTCTTGGAAGCATGGTAAGATCAGAGTACAAGTAATTGATTTTAGAGGGAGAAAGACCTGAAGTGAACAATTGCGGGAGTGCTACATGCACACAGAGCTGACTGGGATCCAATAGATTAAAAACAAACACAATGGCTTCAAAAGAGATGAATCACTAACCACACTTACAATCAAGCCTGGATTGAAATGGACTGTGGCTATTTGAGATCTACAATGATCCTCAATGCTCATATTTTATATAGGCAGGAAACAGGTTAAGAAATCTGCTCAGCCAGCAAGGAGGGCATTTTCTCTAGTGACTTCTTCAGAGGTAACCAAGGAAGATAAAAAAAAGAGTGTAACTTCCAGAGCTATACAAACAATGGTCTGGCAAGTCCTCCCACAGAACACAGCAGAGGCCTAATCAAGGAGCATTCCCCGATGTGGGTTTCCTCCCCATCCTCTTTCTGAATGCAAGTTTTACTGAGATTATCTTGTCGTTGTTCCTGCCTCAGATAGTGGCAGCTCCATCAGAGCCTGGGGCCCAAAATGCGAAACATGTCATGTAAACAATGGTCTGGCAAGTCCTCCCACAGAACACAGCAGAGGCCTAATCAAGGAGCATTCCCCGATGTGGGTTTCCTCCTCATCCTCTTTCTGAATGCAAGTTTTACTGAGATTATCTTGTCTTTGTTCCTGCCTCAGATAGTGGCAGCTCCATCAGAGCCTGGGGCCCAAAATGCGAAACATGTATAACCTGGCTAAGATTAACCTAGCCTGGCCAAGCCCAACAGAGCCATGGCTGACTGGCAGACCCACAGTGAAAAATAAATGATTGTTGTTGTAATCCCCTGAAATTTGTAAAATATTTGTTACCAGAGCAAAAACTGACTAATACAATATTCAAGCATAATAACCATAGGCCCAGTGCTACCCATAGAGACTCAGGTGTTATCTTTTCTTATGATTGCATACAGCAGTTTTGTTCAATAGTAATATAACCTGTTACAAGTGTAACTTTAAATTTTCTGGCAGCCGTATNTACCCATAGAGACTCAGGTGTTATCTTTTCTTATGATTGCATACAGCAGTTTTGTTCAATAGTAATATAACCTGTTACAAGTGTAACTTTAAATTTTCTGGCAGCCGTATATAAAAAAATACAAAGGAAAAAAGGTAAAACAAGTTTACTAAGGTCTTTTACCTCACCCAACATATCTAAAATATCATTTGAACATGTGATAACATAAAAACATAAAAATGAGATAGTTTAATTTTTGGGGAGGGTACCAGGTCTTCAAAATCTGATGTATATTTTACACTTATGGCATATATCAGTTTGGATGAGTCATATTTTAAGTGCTCAATAACATATGTCCCTAATGGTTACCATACCGAATAGTGTAGGTCTACAAAACCATTCTTCTCCTGAACAGAACTTCCAAAAATGAAGAGCACTAAATTTGGAGTCAAAAGAACAGAGTTCTAGTACAAGCTCAGCAACCAACTGTCTATAGGACTCTAAGCT